TTTTTTTTGTAGAAACAGGATCTTGCTATGTTGCCCAGGCTGATCTCAAATTCCTGGCCTCGAGTAATCCTCCTGCCTTAACCTCCCAAAGTGCTAGCATACATTACAGGAGTGAGGCACTACTTCTGGCCATAATAATTTCTTAATTTCAAAATAATAAATATCCTACTCTGATTGTATTACTATCATACTACCAAAAAAAGAAAGAACAGATTTTTCACAAACTACATATGAGGCATAAACCTAAACTGGTATGAGGATGAAAGCAAGCAAGTAGTTCCTGTATTTTTTTTTTTTCTATTTGAGCCAGAGTCTCCAGAGTCTTGCTCTGTTGCCCAGGCTAGAGTGCCATGGCCTTAGCCTACCTGACAGCAACCTCAAACACCTGGGCTCAAGCAGTCCTCCTGCATCACTCTTCCAAGTAGCTGGGACTACAGGTAGGCACCACCGTGCCTAGCCAATTTTGTTGCTTAAGCTGGTCTGAAACTTTGACCTCAGTTAATCCTCTAGTCTTGGCCTCTCAGAGTATTGTTAGGATTAGAGGTGTGAGCCACTGCACCTCATCAAGAGTTGCTCTCTAAATTAGCATCCCCAAATTAAGTCTGCCTTCTCACAAATTGGCATACTATTTTGGTAATACTTTCCCAAGTTACTAACATTTCTTTCTATAAACAGGCAAGTGGTCATACATTTTGGCAACAGGCCAGGCATGGTGGCTCATACCTATAATCCCAACATTGGAGAAGTCTGAGGCTGGAGTACTGGTCAAGCCTAGGAGTTTGAGACAGGCTGGGCAACATAACAAGACCCTGTCTCTACAAAAAAGCACAAATATTAGCCAGGTGTGGTGGCACGTACCTGGAGTCCCAGCTACTCTGGATTGTGGGGTAGGAGGATTGCTTGAAACCAGGAGTTGGAAGGTTGCAATGAACCATATTGATGCCACTGCATTCTAGCAGTGAGAGACCCCGTCTAAAAAAAAAAAAGGCAACAAAAACCTTTTTGCAAGTTTACAAATTACGAAATTAATTATGTACATAAACATTCTGAATTGAGGGATATGAAAAACAATCCCTGCTTCTTAAAGTATCTGTAATTGGGGAAATAAAATGGATGTATGTATATGTGAAATTATTGTGAATACCAATTAAGAATTTGAAGTTGGTCAGTAAACTAGAGAGCTAAGTCATTAAGCAAGAATGATATGAATACAATGCTATAAAGCACTTTGCAACAGTGTTCACTAAAAAAGGCTGGAGCAGCTGGGAGGTGAGTAAATACTGAGATGAGATGTTAAGAATATCAGTATTAAAAGCAGAAACGTGTTAGAAATAATAACGAAGAAAGAATCATGCTTATTTTTGACTCCATCTTATTAATTACCATCTAGTATTTTAATACAGTCTTTCCATATTAATACAAAGCCAACAGAGATGCCCTTTAGAAAAGCTTTATATTGTTCACATGCTTGACATAATAACTATATTAAAGATACATATGTAAGTTGAATGGGAATGTTAGCCTGGAATAAATTAGGCTACAGGTGGTGGGGAGAAAAGTTCATCCCCGAAGAATTAGATTACAGAAGTTTAGAATTGAAAAAGACATTAGGAAAGTGATTTAATGACAGAGTTCAGACTGGAACCTAGGTTTTATTACAGTTCAGAATGTTTTCTCCCAAACCACAGCACTTACTGGAAGAAAATGGCAGGCTTTGCACAGGTGTGATTTTACCGGCCTATGTACTATCTGTGAAGGAAAGGGTACAGACCTGATCTGTTACTTGATATAGTACTCAAATGTGTGTTTAGGAAGCTAAGAATGAAAGTGATGAATGACTTAACCCATGATTTTTTTTCATTTAGGACTCTTATCTTCTGTCATACCTGCATGTATATCTAATCCAACCT